GATGCACTTGATCATGTCCCGTTATAACGGATCACACTCTAGATCATTATCTCGATTGAAGTTATGTTGAGAAACACTTCTAATGGCACGGAATTGTTTTCTTATCTATTATCTTACTATTAATATCTAAAACAATCGAATACGTTATAAAGCGTTCATAGAACAATGAAAGAGATATACCTCCCAGTGGTGGGGATGGTTTCAGGTGCATTTATGGTAAAGATATTTGTGCATTTATGGAAACATTACTGTAAATTGATATTACTGTATAGTATATACTGTAAATTGATAGTACTGATATTACTGTATTTCGAAAGTGGAAGAATGAGATCCATCAAACCCATTTTCATGAAAATTAAAATTGCAATGAATCCTGTGCCCATCCAGCAGATGTCGACGTCCTCCGATAGAATCTTTTCCGAAGCATCTCCGGGAATGTTCACCGGTCCTCGCGAAGCGTCCTCGTTTCAATGCGATGAAATCGAATAACTTGGAACAAACAAGATCAAGAACGAGAAATTCCCCGCGATCTCCGATGCCCGGGGTCGATTCCTTGGCTGGTAGGTCAACGCCCACGCAAAATCGCGAAAGTATGGTCGTCCAGGGGATCCCCGCTATTCCAACCATTCATTCCATTCCAGGTAGGCGGCCGCGTCCGAAATTCCAATTCACGTATCCGTCGATGGATCCTCGGTAAACCTTCTCACGCGACATTCGATACGGTCTGGATCGCTGCTGGTATCATCCACAGATATCTATACTATACCTAGATCGCTAACCTTATTTTAAAATATTTAGGTGTTACAACATTTTTTAGTTTTTGAGTATATAGACATCGAAAAGGATTGCCAGCACCGAAAATGTGTCCAAAGTCTGTGCGAGAGAGAAAGGTATAGAATGATATTTGTCCTCTCTGCGCATGCGTCAAATACATTATGAATGCCATGCTATAGGTTACATTGGCGGGCTGTGTACCGTAAATGCACTCATTATCCACACTAAATGTAACGTTTATTGTAGAAAAATATGCGCATATTATCTTTACGGAATCCAACTACTGTTTATCTCAGCTAAGATCAATAACAGATGCCAAGGAATTATAAGTTGCATCATATTAGAATATAAATATATGTATTTTTATATACATAAAGCATATTATTGGGATTTTTGTATGCAGTATACAGATTTAGAAAATTTCGTATATTGAGTATGCATTTCTATTAATATGATCTATTACAACAATTCATAAAACTGAAGTGCAGGGTTTCTATAGATTGTATACAAAGAGTGCAGATCAGTGCAGGTACGATGTTAACGCATACGCAGAATAAACTAGTAAAGTTCTTCGCGCATGCGTCAAATAGGTTTTCTTCGCTCGTGTGAGGGGTTTCCTAACCTCTCATATTTTGCGTTTGGTTTTCGAATCTTTTTAAGATTCATTTATACAAACAAGACGAGAGTATATTGGTATAGTTGAATAGTCAAGTTGTGGATATCTGAAGAGGGTAAAGAACTCCAAAGAAAAAACAAAATTCATTCTTACCAGTAGTGTATGACTTTCTACAAAGCAATCATAGTACATTCGACCATAATTATTTAGATAATGCTGGTTGGGTTGCCCCTGAATGTGTTAAAAAAAAAATTCATTATAGCAAATACAAAAGTCCCTTTTAAACGAAACACCCAGTACAGTTTCAATTTCTACCATTACAGGGTTCTTTCTCGACTCGCCAATCTTTTAAACATTCTTCCGACCGCCATTGTTTGCCTATATTATTCCTCGATTTGGATCCACACCCTGCGAACACTTATTATCGAATTCAGGAAGGGAAAGTATCCGTTGATCTATTTTTTTCTAGCGTAGCCAAGTAATCCTCAGGATCTCCCCTAACCCTGGCACGTTCAATTTTTCTAACAGAACGTGCCTTTGGCTTGGAAGATAGGTATACGCAGTTTATATATATATATATATATATATATATATATAGTCGTGTAGATATCTGTGGTATCACCAGCAGGGGAAGCAGGTACGTCACGGAGCAGGGGATGCGAGGCGAGGATTTTCGGAGCCCCGAAAACTAATTTCCCTTCGTGGTCGCCATTAATGTGGGGTGTAAATCGCTAACGGAGCCTCAGTACATGGCTTCAAAAAAGGGGAATGCAGAAAGTTATCTTGTGTATGCGTACGTGCGTTCTGTTATATGGAATTAAATATGTATATGGGGCATTCCACGCCAAATCGGGCTCCAGTTTAAATTTAGACCACTATTGAAAACGTTTATATTAATATAGAACACTCAACCGATACGGCAGGCCACAGTGTTGGTAATGTAGTATACACTGTCGATAAATTTATCGATCAGTTAGGGATCTACATGGCCAACGCTTACCATTGTTTCCAACCCATCAAAGCAACAGCTAAATATTTTCTGAAACTTGACTTTTATTTAATATTACTAATTCTTAACTCACACTAATTCTGGGACGCCCTGTATATCATTCTGTGTTATTAAATCACTGAGTGTCAAATACATATGGGGCATTCCACGCCAAATCGGGCTCCAGTTTAAATTTGAACCATTATAGAAAAAGTTTATATTAATACAGAACACTCAGCCGATACGGCAGGCCACAGTGTCGATAATGTAGTACACACTGTCGATAAATTCGTCGATCAATTAGGGTTCTACATGATCAACACTTACCTTTGTTACCAACCCATCAAAGCAACAGGTAAGTATTTTCTGAAACTTGACTTTTATTTAATATTACTAATTCTTAACTTACACTAATTCTGGAACAGCCTGTAGAATAATCCAGATGCAGAATAGTACTAAATAATACATAATAATACTGAATAATATAGCATAATACAAAAAAATTTATAATTATTGCCATACAGAGGGAGTTTTAATAAAAGATTGGAAACTTTTGTGACACACTGTGTACGGAGTGAATCATTTTTCGTAGGTGATGGAATATGGGAGATTTAAAAAGCAAATTGACAGAAAAATTTGTAAGGGTTTGACGTCAGAGGGTGGTATCCTTGGTCGACTGTATCCGTGTACCAAATTTCGATTCACGCTCTATAAATAGAAAGCAGTACATATCATCGGATATCAATACTGGTACGTTGCTACAGTATCGAACGAATCGCGTTATTAAATGGAATCATTTGGGTCACTTATTATTAACTTCTATCAATAATTTTTTTTCAATAATTCACACCAAAAAATATTCTCAAAGTTAAAACAAAAATTGACAAAATTTTTCTCTGTAAAAAAATCACAAAAAACACTTTAATATTTGGCATTTTAATAAATTGAAATAGAAATTATTGTTGCTTAGTTCTAAAAACACTATGTTGGTGACGCGGAAAAATGCAACAGAATTACAAAAAAATAAAAAAGAGTGGAAAGAGAGAAGCCCGACGAAAGGCAAGAGAGAAATTGAACCAGAAAGCCAGACGTCTACTAAAATGTTTGTATTTCCAGCACTTCCCAATATTCGACAAAATATTCCTTTTGAACTATTTTCTCGGGCTCGCACCGTGTGCGTTCTATGCTGTTACAAACAAATATAGTTGAAAAACGTCATTCCATATTTTTGGTGTACCAAGTGCTACCGAAATAGGCAGTAAAAATTAAGGAAACATATTGTACTCGCTGCAAAGACGAAATGAAAAAAACAAACAGCGTACAAACAGTTTTTTCGATAAAAAATTATAAGTATTGTTATTAAATAGTAATAGCAATCGAACAGGCCTCGATTTCGTCGAAAGTAAACCAAGGGAAGAAGAAAATGAAAAGAAATAATATTTTCTTGTAAGATTTCCACTTTCGAAATCTGCATAGTCTTATAATTAAAAATATGTTTAACAAACGTCTGTCGAAAAATTACCATCCGATGGAAACCTATGTGAAGAGTAGAAGTCTTTTGCTGATAAATAGAATTCACAGATGAAAACAAATTTATTCATAATATTTGAGGCAATCATATGTAAATGTGATAATATATTTCCTGTCCATATTAAATGGTATTGACAATTTGTAAATCACAATCTGAAATTTATTTTTTTCACACGGACTTTGACATACTGACCATCTAGCAGCTACAATGGAAACTATTCTCGCTATAAACTTGGGCGTTTTGCCGCCGATAGCGCCACTATTTTTGCGTATATATATGGCCATTTTGTGTACATCGAGTTATTGTACTTATCTGATTTTTTCTCATATCTTTCCATTACTTTTATTTTGCGCCATAGGCTTTTCGATACTTTATATTTGTTATTCATAACAATATAAAAGTAGTACATAATGTAGTCCGCCACCACCGATAATCTCTTTTACCGACAGGGTATGGCTACAAGACAATATGGCGTTGAAAGTATCAGTAAAATACGGTAAAATGCCATTTTTAACTGCTCATAACTTGTGAAATAGTGGATTCATCGCCTTAAAACTAGCATTTCCGGATTTTTCTCGACAAAATCTACAGGATTATGTAAAAGAAACTTAAATATTTTAGGTTTACCAAAGTAAAGTCCAGCCAATTAAACATTTCAATAAATAGCCATTTAAAGAGACAATTTAATTCACTGTATATTTTTCCATTGACAAAAGTATAGCCTATTTTAACGCCTTATTAGTGAATATTTTCTAATAAACAAATTTGATAGAAGTATTAAATTATTTAAACTCAATGAAACACTTGTACAATGTCTGGTACAAGTAAAGTTTAATCATATTGTTTATTTTATGCTCCTCTACTTCATTCAGCAAACCTGTATTTATAAAATATGAAGATTATAGTCATCAAGAAAAAATATTTTTATTTGTTACAGTAATATTTTTGTAGAACAAATTGTTACTTGGAATGTATATTTATTTTCTTGCAATTAAAATGAAATTTTTATGCTGCAAATGAGATTTCGAATTATTCAGAACATGTAAATGCTAAAACATACCAGAATTTTCTTTAAAAAAAATGACAACAGATTGGAGATTCTCACTTAATTCTTTATATTTACACAATAAAAATGTTGATTAACATAATAATGGGAGAAATTATATCTCATTTCAAATTAATCAGAATTTGCTGCAAATATGGAAATAGTTTTCTTATAGTATGCTAATAAATAATGTACTGTACTATATAAATGTTATAATAGCTATACATTTTAAAAATGCAACCTCGCATACTCAAAAAATTTCAATACTTTTATACTTTCTGGAATTAATTCAATAATTGAAATATAGTTTATGCGATGTTGTACAATCGCGAAAACGATAAATGTATCAAGATTATCAGACAACTAGTTTGTAGACATAATGAAATACAGAACATGATTACAATATAATGAACGATCCAGTACTTTTGCTTTGCTTCAGGGATACATTAAAGGTACCAAATGAAACCTGTAAATTACTGATTGCACAAGCCATTCTGTAATCGCATATAAAAAAAATATTTATGCAACATACTACATTCATTTACTTTTACTACAAAGGTATATTTTTTGAAGTAGAAACTAGTATTCCATTAAAATTATATATTCCTTCTGAGGTTAGAATCTTCTTACTGTTAAAAGATTCTATACTAGTCTGCCTGCCAAACCATCGAAGAAATCTAAACACGACATCTTTGTATTCCCCGCAATATAGAAAATACAGTTTCATTCTGTTTACTCTTACAAAACTTTTATTATTTTTATAGCAAAATTGTGGACATAGGTGCAGGGTACGCAGCTGGTGCGGGTAAAGTGATTGGTAAACTCGGAAAGATAGGGGTAATGTCACTTTGCATTGTGGATAATTTGAGATCAGTTGTCCATAGCATATCTCCGAGTCCATTCTTTGGCATTACGTATTGCTTCACTTTCATTTACTTTCCACAGTTCAGCTACATCATTCGATAGAGGATCGTCTGGATTCGGTGCACTTAAAAGTGCTTGTATAGATAGTAAAACTGTTCTGATTTGAAGAGCAGGACTCCATTTATCTTTGAGAATATCCAAACAAATCCTGCCCAATCTACATAACAAATACAAGTATTTATGACAAACAAAAATTGAGTTCTATTGTTGATTATTAAACATTGTGACATGCTTGAAGTTTATTTGCATTTTAAAGTAGTCAATCGGTATAATCATTAAGTATAAACAAATAAAGTATTTACATTAAAAGAAAGGCTGAGGAATTAATAAAAGAAATTACGTTCTTAAATAAATACCTGTCTATATTTGGATGATAAATTTTTGTGATAAATCTAACTTTTGGAGCGGACATCGGGTAGTCCTCTGGTAGGAACAACTCAAGTTTAAAAAGTCCACCTTCGAATGGCGAATCTTCAGGTCCAGTTACAATTACATGAAAATACCTAGCATTTGTATCATCTGGCACAGCGCTAATACCAGGAACTGGTTCTTGCATTAGTCTCTGAGTTTCTTTAATAATCCTTCGCGGTAACCCAGCCATGTTTGATGACGATCCCCTAAAAGAAAGTTCCTACACTTCCTCTAATTTGCTTTTCAATTAATAAGTACAAACTAAAATAAAACTATTTATAATTTATTGTAATGAAAGAGCAAATTATTGCTAGGAACTTATGCCTAAATAATGAGAGTATCGAAGAGTATCGATTTGTTTGAAAATCTGTTTTATTAATTCAAAAATGAATTAATACACATCTACGTAAATAACAATGAATTATAAGTATGTATGACTAAGAAAAACTTCGCTGTTCGCTATCTTACTGTAAGGAACGAAGCATAATATACCAAGAATGAATAAAAAAATTATATAAAACTGCGTTATAACCATATACATGTACAAAATGAAATGAATATCGTGATATCTTTACTAAATTCATGGCGAAAAATAAAATACACAGGCACATGTAAAATTAATAAATGACCAACAAAAATAAATGTAGGTTATCAAAGAAAGTATCGTTTTATTATCATTTCTTAAACACAATGTACACTATGAGACTTTCTAAACGATCGTACCATAAATCGCTTAAAAATCTGCTAATGAATGCCGATTTACGATTAATTGACATCCGTAGTTCTACCGCAATAATTATTTCAGATTGTTGTTCGCAATATTACGATAGTTCGAATACAATTTCATCGAATAGTTATCGTAATAATAAATGAAGCGAAACGAAATCGGCCAGAAAACGAACGAGAGCGTAATACTTGAAATATCCCCTGCAATATTTCTGCCAACCTCCAAAGCTACCGAGTAGACCTCTGCATATGCGTAAACAAAGAATTCGTGCACCAAGTCACGTACCGTGTGAAACTAAATTATACAAAAGACACGGCGATCGTGTAAGAACGTTGGAATTATGAATGGTTTACGAGTAGCAGTGAAATACATACGATTATCTGAAAATATCCCCGCGTCGCCCCGCAAAGTCTGGCAGATCGTCCGCCTCTCTTGATGGCCTTTTCTTCTAGAAGCCTCGAAATCGATTTTTAATCCTATTTTCTCCGCACGTCGCCGTCTCGTGATTATCGGCTTTGCAGCCGATCTCAAAAATCTGTTTGGGGTCTATGGCGCAACCCCAAAAGGAACACTTTAACAAAGTGTTAATTAAATTTCCACACGCAAATGTGTGCTAGAGTCTTCGCAACCGCTTCTCGCGATTCATCTTATCACGCGTTGATGGCGCTGCACGCGAAATCACTGCGTAAACCAATTTAACAATTTCATGTAGAAACACCTCTTGCTATCGACGAGCGAGGAATCCGACGACTTTTTAATTCAATTAAATCATATAGACGTACGAGCGGAAATGTTCTTGTGCGAAAATCGGGTTAACTTTATTGCGGCTGTAGTTCGCACTGCAGCATTCATGTAATCTCAGTGGTACTCAAACTTTACGCAGAGCACAACGATAGAGGAAAGTCTTCTAAAATTAAATTCCCATTTTTATTATCCAATGAAAAATATTTTTGGGGTCATTTTCTATTTTAGAAAGTTAAGAACCATTAATAATTGTAGATTAAAAAGTGTCAATCAGAATAAGAGGGGTCAACCCCTTCATCGAAATTTTTTTAAAGAATATTAATTGATGGAGAAGTCTGAACAGTTTTCAAAAGAAAAACGCAAAATCCTACCGAAGCCCAAATTTTAAGGAAATAAATATTGTCTTTAGGTTTTTCTAAATTTCTTATTTATTACTATCGGTGGGCAAGACCCTAGGTTTCGAATAAGTCTGAAGTTGGCCGATATGTTTGTCTCGTTTCCTCTTTTGAACATTTTCCAAGAGGGAAACAAGACAAACATATCAGCGAACTTCAGATTTATTCGAAGCCTAGGGTTTTGCCCATCACTGCACTGCAGTCTATAGTAATTACTATCTAGTAATTTACTAGTAATTTACTATCTAGTGCCTTTTCACTTCAATGGCAGAGATGGGCAAAACCCTAGGCTTCGAATAAATCGGAAGTTTGCTGATGTGTTTGTCTCGTTTCCTTCTTTGGAACATTTTCAAAAGAGGAAACGAGACGAACATATCAGCAAACTTCAGATTTCTTCGAAACCTAGGGTTTTGCCCATCTCTGGAATATTTCGTCCACTTGCGGTGCGAGTGCGCGCAGACTACGACATATATGTATATATCCTTCTACACTACTACATTATCAAAGAATGGTTGACTACAAATAGTTTTTAAATAACGAAAACTTCGAATTGACATTTCAATTGTAATACAAGACATTTTATGACAAATAGATTCTAAGTTTCGCGGTAGTTTGTTGGCCCGCACTGATACTGCATACAAAATTACAATCATTCGGGGATTCATGAAGCGAGAAACATAAATTAAAATCGATGTTTAATTGAATTCCTGCTTCAATAAATTAACTTTTTAATTCTATTTTAATAATCGTGTTTCATTAGTAAAAAAAATAGTTTTCTTCGGAAGCAAGTGTGCAATTTTTACTTTCCGATCTATATGAAAGGCTAGTATGTATTTTTAATTGAAATACGTCTCGACACAATTTTTATTATGGAAATAGTACATTTTAAAAACTAATCACGTTTTCGTATGTCAAATTAAATGTTATATTTTGTTCAGAAGGAAATAGAAGGAAATGTGAAAGTTTCAACACAAAATTAATAATTTGATCAAATTAAAGATACATTTTATTTAAGTATATTTTGGTAGAAATCCATCTCTGACTTCATATACATTGTAACTGATTTTATAGAGTATTATTTTCTATAAATTGGGTTATTCGGGTTCAATTGGTTGCTATGGTTGTCCAGATCTGCTTTCGTCCCTGCACCATGGTACCCCGCATTTCTTCCAGGTCCAGCTCGAGGGTAATTCGGATTACATTGATTTGCTCTATTGTCGTTGTTCCGGTCCATCTATTAAAAGAAAGTAAATTGTTAAATATACTTGAATAATTATTATTAATAATAATTATTATTAAATAATATATAATTATTTAATATGAATAATTATTAAAAATAGTTTTTTAAATATATGGATATTTGCAAATACTTAGTTTGCCAATTTCGATGTGAATTATGTAGCATTTAATGTATCTAAGTAAAGTGCAATCGCAGGTATATTCCTTGCAACAATAAGAATATAACAAATTCATTCAATTCTACTTTTTTTTTTAGACTGTTTCTGATACTTTTTTACATGAAAATACCGAACGTAAAACGAATGGTAACAAAAGTACAAAAATGACAGGAAGACTATCCATTATCAAATTGAAGTTAAAAAGAATACATGAATAATTAACTAATGGGGAAATAGTTGATATTTTTAAAACAGATAGATACACAAATGAATGAATAAAACTGTACAAGTCTCAAATCATACAAAAGTGCAAAATATAAGTGTTTTATAGTTACCTTTGTTTTCTTACTGTTTCACACGTTAAAGTACTTGCAGCAGATACTCTCTCGTGCTTGTTCAAAACGATTGTGTCAAATCGCAGTCTCGAGTCTGTATTTATAGCCAGTGCGCAGTCCACGACACTCACAGAAACTCCCAGGGGAACCCCACGACTGCCAAACAGTAGAGAAATTTTTCTTCTCCCCCCTAAAATGTTTTATTTATGTATTTATTACAGTTTCTCACAAATAAAGATATATTATTTAAAATTTAGTTGAATATAAATGAGTGCCGTTATGTGTAAAAATATAATCAATAAAAAAAGATCGGTAACTTAAAAAAAAGAGTTGCAACTTGAAATTTTTTGGATCCTGGTCATCGGTAAACATTCTAGAATTTTGCCATGTACACCATAAACAACATTCAACACAAAACTAAGCACGAACCACCTATTTCAATTGATTAACTGCTCAATTAACACTATTTTAGTATTGTTCTGAGACTTTATTATATAACTATGGATGAAAACAAAAGTTGGCAACAGTGGAACATTCGCCAATAAAGAGCACGTCGAAATTCGGGGAAGCACCGCTCCACCGCTAGACGTTAGTGTATCTATCTGTTATATAACGATACAAATCATTGTCGTAACACATGAATTACAAGTATAGCTTATTTCAAATCAGGATTACGAGTAATTAATTACTTTTTCCATTAACTTCCGTCTTTAATTGACAATTAATTACAAACAATGATATTAAAACTTATTTAATTAAAATTGAATTAAGCAGAGTTAATCGAAAGTCGTTTACTTGACGATTGATATGAGCGAATTTAATTGATGATATTTAATTGACGATTTGTCTATAATTGTCAATTAAAGACGGAAGTTAATGGAAAAAGTAATTAATTACTCGTAATCCTGATTTGAAATAAGCTATACTTGTAATTCATGTGTTACGACAATGATTTGTATCGTTATATAACAGATAGATACACTAACGTCTAGCGGTGGAGCGGTGCTTCCCCGAATTTCGACGTGCTCTTTATTGGCGAATGTTCCACTGTTGCCAACTTTTGTTTTCATCCATAGTTATATAATAAAGTCTCAGAACAATACTAAAATAGTGTTAATTGAGCAGTTAATCAATTGAAATAGGTGGTTCGTGCTTAGTTTTGTGTTGAATGTTGTTTATGGTGTACATGGCAAAATTCTAGAATGTTTACCGATGACCAGGATCCAAAAAATTTCAAGTTGCAACTCTTTTTTTTAAGTTACCGATCTTTTTTTATTGATTATATTTTTACACATAACGGCACTCATTTATATTCAACTAAATTTTAAATAATATATCTTTATTTGTGAGAAACTGTAATAAATACATAAATAAAACATTTTAGGGGGGAGAAGAAAAATTTCTCTACTGTTTGGCAGTCGTGGGGTTCCCCTGGGAGTTTCTGTGAGTGTCGTGGACTGCGCACTGGCTATAAATACAGACTCGAGACTGCGATTTGACACAATCGTTTTGAACAAGCACGAGAGAGTATCTGCTGCAAGTACTTTAACGTGTGAAACAGTAAGAAAACAAAGGTAACTATAAAACACTTATATTTTGCACTTTTGTATGATTTGAGACTTGTACAGTTTTATTCATTCATTTGTGTATCTATCTGTTTTAAAAATATCAACTATTTCCCCATTAGTTAATTATTCATGTATTCTTTTTAACTTCAATTTGATAATGGATAGTCTTCCTGTCATTTTTGTACTTTTGTTACCATTCGTTTTACGTTCGGTATTTTCATGTAAAAAAGTATCAGAAACAGTCTAAAAAAAAAAAGTAGAATTGAATGAATTTGTTATATTCTTATTGTTGCAAGGAATATACCTGCGATTGCACTTTACTTAGATACATTAAATGCTACATAATTCACATCGAAATTGGCAAACTAAGTATTTGCAAATATCCATATATTTAAAAAACTATTTTTAATAATTATTCATATTAAATAATTATATATTATTTAATAATAATTATTATTAATAATAATTATTCAAGTATATTTAACAATTTACTTTCTTTTAATAGATGGACCGGAACAACGACAATAGAGCAAATCAATGTAATCCGAATTACCCTCGAGCTGGACCTGGAAGAAATGCGGGGTACCATGGTGCAGGGACGAAAGCAGATCTGGACAACCATAGCAACCAATTGAACCCGAATAACCCAATTTATAGAAAATAATACTCTATAAAATCAGTTACAATGTATATGAAGTCAGAGATGGATTTCTACCAAAATATACTTAAATAAAATGTATCTTTAATTTGATCAAATTATTAATTTTGTGTTGAAACTTTCACATTTCCTTCTATTTCCTTCTGAACAAAATATAACATTTAATTTGACATACGAAAACGTGATTAGTTTTTAAAATGTACTATTTCCATAATAAAAATTGTGTCGAGACGTATTTCAATTAAAAATACATACTAGCCTTTCATATAGATCGGAAAGTAAAAATTGCACACTTGCTTCCGAAGAAAACTATTTTTTTTACTAATGAAACACGATTATTAAAATAGAATTAAAAAGTTAATTTATTGAAGCAGGAATTCAATTAAACATCGATTTTAATTTATGTTTCTCGCTTCATGAATCCCCGAATGATTGTAATTTTGTATGCAGTATCAGTGCGGGCCAACAAACTACCGCGAAACTTAGAATCTATTTGTCATAAAATGTCTTGTATTACAATTGAAATGTCAATTCGAAGTTTTCGTTATTTAAAAACTATTTGTAGTCAACCATTCTTTGATAATTTGTAATTAGTGTTACGACAAAGGTAAAACTGTTCGTTAATTGCATAACAACCATTATAATTCGGAATTTGTGAATAAACATAAATAGAGACTGTGTAAACACAAATTTGTTCGTGAGTTATAGTGTCAATTATTAAAATTGTTAGTATCGATAGTATCCAATATTATTTGCTTGTTTGCTTGCTCAAAGAAATAATTTAAATAATAATTATTTCCGACTAATGGGATATTTAATAGTAAAGTGACAGTGATATAACCTCGAATATGTAAGCAAACATTAGATTTTCAATGTACTGCAATGGAATTAAAGCGTTAGAATTGTAGTGTAAGTGTTTTCTCTAACTTTTGCTTTCTTATGAAAAACTTTTGGAACTTTTATAATATTGCTTATAAAAAAAAAACAATGACTCATTAATGTTTCTTCTCATGTTTTATATAGTATATTCTTTTATATACATCTATTATTTGAAAATTGCATTTATCTTTTAAGTATACTAAGGAAAATAATGATCGAAGTGTTGTTTTTTACAGACATTTATTAAAAATGGCTGATGTAAGATTACTTATACAAGAAGAAGGCCGTGCAGCTAGAAATTTGATAGCTTTCAATGTACCAGTCGGGACAGTTAACACTGAGAAAGTTACTAAAAAACCACCTAGTGTACCAAGAATGTCACAATCGAGTACAACTAAAAGATCTATGAAACCAACAACAAGAGTGAGATCGGCGTCTACTGGTCGAGATAAAAAATCTGGTAAGCGAAAGTTACAAGATTGTGACGACATGAATGTACACTTTTGTCACATTTTAATGAACAGGTGTGAATGTATGCAATTTTTTTCTTTGGTTTAGAATTACAGGCAAGATATTGGGCCTTTTTATTTGGGAATTTGCAAAGAGCAGTGGATGGGATTTATCAAACTTGCGAAGAAGATGAAAATATTTCAGAATGCAAAGAAGTAATACTGGTTTTAGAGAATTATACAAGGGATTTTCATAATTTGATTGAATGGTTTAAAGTCAAATGGGCTTACGAAAGTTCGTCGCCACCCTTGAGACGTACTCCGTTAGCTTGGGAAGTAAGGAAAACTTCTCCTTGTCGCATATGGAATTCAACAATGATTCCGAAATGTACTAGTCCTTTGCAAAGGATAAGTCCTACAGAATTTATTTGTAGAAGTCCTGTTGATCAAACTATTTCAGAAAATAAGCCTATTACTACGGATAGTAAAATAAATAACGCGAAAGGCGAATCTGTACACAAATTGGTGAAAGATAATAAAAGTACTGTTACAAAAAGTAACTTGACAAACGTAAGCGAAAAGTGTAAAAATCCAGTAGATAAAGGTATAAGCTCATCATCGATTAAAGACAAGTTATCATCGATGAAAGTCAATAAAGCTTTGGTAAAACATACAGTTTCTGGGAAAACAAGTGGTACCATTATAACAGATCAGAAAGCAAACGAAGCTACGTTTCGTGATGTAAAAAGTAAGCTGGATACTAAAAATGTTTCTAAATTAGTTAAAACTGGATTGCATAATAGTACCAATAAAATAGCAGATTCTAATCTAATAATAGAAAAAAATGAACAGATACTCTCTAATGATAAAAGTATGCAATTAATTACCTTTTCATCAACTGAAAAAGAACTTTCTAATACGACTACTATGGATAATAAATTAAATGCTCAGAATAATTTCCAAGTGAAACCATTGGGTCCTAAAAACGATTTAGGATTAGGGAAAAATGAAATTAATGCTAAAGTGAAGAAACAAGGTACTGGAAAAGATATTAAAGCCATTGGCATAGAAAATGTAACGACTGAAAGCAAATTAGTAGAACCCAATAGTATAGCAAAAGAAAACAGCAGTATCATTGTAATGAACAAGAGCATACAAAGTATCGCAAAAGTTTCAAATAAAGTAAATCAAAAATTAAAAACCCATTCAGGTGTGAGCGATTGCGCGAATAATAAAATTGTGGCAAAAACTGTATCTGACACGTCATCTAATAATTTAGGTAAAGGATTAGTTAATACAAATAAACCAGCATATGCAACAATATCGCAAATGAAGGTTGCTAGAACAAAACATGCAAGTCTCCCTGAAACTCCCAAATTTATTCGAAGTAAAACAACATTATGCGATAGGAATGTATCAACTTCTAATAAAATAAGACCTGGAACATCAGTAATAGTTAGGCAACGCTTTCAACCATTTGACAATAAGGTATTTCCTTTAACATTTTACTTCATTAACAATGTTGATTTTTAATTTTTAACTAAAGCACTTGTTTTATTTAAAATAAAAAGAAATAATAAAGACAGTTTTATGTTCGAAACGATCCATAAAGGTGAATTTTATGTTTAAAAATATTGAAATTTCTTTTTCTGGCACATCTAATCATTACATATCATTGTGTGTTCTAACTTGTAGGCTTGTTTCGTATTGACTTCAATTTTAGCGGATTTTTTTTAACTATTTCCTATTTTCTTTGAATTATATTGATCGATTTTAAATCGGGGGATAGTTGTGTTATTTATTAGAGCATATGTGTACTGCATGTGTAAGCTTTATTTAACAATTTGATAGATAATTTACAGTATTCGTTGATTAGATTTCAGAACAGAGTTCTTTAAAGAAAGATCAGAATAAAGATATAAATGGTTCAGTAGAAGTGTTAACGAAACAAACGGTTACTGTAAAAATGAAAGAAGAAAACGATGGTTGGCAAACAGTTCGCAGTCGTTGCCGAAGAGGCAGTACTCATAATTTAAATATATCTACAAGATTTCATAAACCGAGTACTGCCACTTCGTTACCAGCCTTGTCCATCGAATGTCCTTCAGAAAAAAATAAAAAGAAATGTTTGACACCCGATGGAAATAGCAAACAGAAAAAAAAGTGCATTGTAGAAAAGGAAGGAAAGAACATATGTAACGAAGTAGAGAAAGTGAAAGGGGAATCAGTAGCAAGTCTTACACTTAAAGATAAGGTGGAAGAAGTTTTCAAGAACACGATTAATTTGAATGAAATAAATTCCACGTCAATGATCGCAGCGATATTTAAGAGTGACGCAGAATTACTTGAGAAACGTATACAACAATTTATGGCCGCTCAAGCGGAAAGGGAGAGAATAATTTTGGAAGAGGAAAGAAAGACAGAAGAAGCTGATTCTCAGCGGTCACAACAATTATCGGATGAAGAGGCTTCTTTGCATAGACAAATTTTAGAATTAGAATGCACGGAAACCGATGTTGATACAGAAACTGATGAAACGGACGGCGAGATGGTTCTTGAAATAGAAGACGAGCAAGAGGCATCACCTAATACAGTGTCTGACGATATTAGTTTAGAAAATAGGTGTGTATCATATTCATTGCATTTATACTTTATTTTGCTGCATAACGAATGTAATGTGAATTTTTATAGATATGATAACGTGTTAGATGGAATGTCTTGGGCGGAGTGTGTGGATACCCTTGCTCAATTACATGCATTAGTGGCTCGCCACCCTGGTAGAGCTTTAGAATTGCATCAGAAGCTCTCGTCACCGTCGCGTAAAAGATCGTTACCTGAGACATTACGACGATATCAAACGAAGCAAGCTTGCGCGCAACATAAACGCCAAAAGCTCTTGATGGAGAAATCGCAAAGATTGCGAGAATTGTTGAATAAAGTGAAAGATGTTAAAAGTGCAAAGAATCAGTTGATAGAGGACAAGCGTATCAGAATGGAGATGAAATTAAAAAGAGCGGAAGAAAACAGAACGCAGCATTTGTTAGAAGTAGTAAGAAAAGCACACGACGAGGACTCCAAACTGAAAGAAATTGCATTTATCAACGAGCTTGAAGCGCAGAACAAGAGGCATGATTTTATAGCGTTATGTCAAGAACAAGAAGAACGATTACAAGTATGTTACGCAAATCTATCTGAATGCAATCGTTAAATAAAAGAAGATAAATGATTGAAATAATAATGAAATTTCTAGGGAATTCATGAAGAACGCCAACGTCGACAAGAAGAAAAAGCAGCTAAAGAAGCAGCAGCTGAGGAGCGCAGACGAGCTTTAGAAGCGGAAAGACAGCTACGCATTCAGAAAATGAAACAAGCTCGTCGCGAACGCGAAGAAAGAGTGGGCAAAATGCAGCTAGAAAGAGAAAAAGAACGACAGGTAATTATGTTGAACTAATGACAACTTAAAATTAGATTTTTACGCAAATCGAATGTGTATTGTATATTTGCAATCGTAGGAACTCGCGCGAGAAAAAGCCAGAGATCGAGAAGAACGTTTGTCAGCATTGCACGCAGCTCAGTTAGCAAATCAAGAAGAATTACAGAAGAAGATAGCTCAAAAGCAGCAAGAATCGGCTAGGAGACATGTTGAGAATATTGAGCACATTCGACAAAGAGCAGTCGAATCTTCGATTTTGAGGTCGGAGGAAGTGCCACCTACCCTGAAATCGTACCCTACCCAAAAACAGTGCTCTTTATGCGGAACAGTCGTAAGTTTTCATCCGTTACTCTTAATTATACTTAATGTTCTCGTTAATCATTGATTTATATCGATACTCACGGTCTTTGTATTGTTTGTAGATACCCAATGAAGTTTATTTATTAAGCCATTTAAAAGGGAAGACGCATCTCGAAGCAGTGCGGAGTACACACGATGGTCGGGAACCATCTCGAGACGAGTTACAGCGCTTCAATATATCGCAAATTCGCGATTTGCCGCCTTCGGTGATCGAAAATAACAATTCGAATGATGTCAAGGCTGCGAAAGAGAAGCAGAAAGCTTTGAAACGTCGGTGCAGGAAAATGAAGCAGCGAATGATTTTACGCGGTAAAGAATGGGAAGATGATCACAAGGTTGACGTAAACCAATCCACCGAGTCGACAAACAAAGCAAAGTTTCGACGGAATTTAAAAGAACTGGATCGGTTGTACTGTAACCACTCGAAAACTGCGTGGTCAAGCGTCGCCATTGCTGCATTGGAACGCTGTCTAGGCGAAATAACACGAGCTTTCTCAAAATCGGTAAGATGCGCATCGCTATTCTTATTATTTGCCAAGTGAAAAATGATAATACCATGTTGATATTTTCACGCTTTCTCAATACTTACTCAAATGTATTGGTACATGTTGAAGAAGTAAAATTAATCTCTAGTGAACAAAGAACGAAGTGATTTACATGTTTAAAAACCGTTTATCTTCATTACAATGTTTCAGTGTCCATTGGATCAAAACGCGTTTCGACTTTTGAATGGATTCGATGTTTTAACGAATCTCCTACATCTGGGCCTGCAAATGCAAAACGCGTCCCATAATCTTCCAAACAAGTAAGTTTATATTGTATATTTTCGCGATTTTGTATGTTTTGGGCTCCATTCATGAAGTACTTGATGTCGAATCAGATTCACCGCTCCGTCTCGAGATATACGTACCTACTTACGCATTTTTGTTACTGTCCGCGCGGCTCACATCAAAATTCTACCGAAGAAGGTCAAAGAGAAACATAAGAGCGACGAGAACGAGTGACAATTGGAATGCATTGGCGTAACAATGAAATATTACAGCGATCGAACAACTACTGACCGACCACGTTAAGTTGCCGAGTGTCTACAAACTAGAGGAGCTGCTAGCTCCACCCAATACATAGTAGTAATGATGTCACAAAATCACGGACATAGAACTTTGCCTCACTTTTATCGTCACGAGTATCTTCTTTGTTACTTGCAATTAATTTATTCTCGAATATCTTCTTTCTCATATTCTTTTGGTTACTTCCAACTTTTCTCTTCGCCTATTTGTCTTCACGAGCATCTTCTTTGTTACTTTCAATTGATTTCTTCTTCAATATCTTTTTTCTCAGTCTGTCTTTTATACTTCCAACTTTTCCCTTCACTTCTTTGCTTTTATGAGCATCTTCTTTGTTACATGCAATTAATTTCTTCTCGAATATCTTCTTTCTCATGCTCTTTACTTGACTGGCAACTTTTCAACTTCACCTCTTCACCTCACTTTTGTCTTCAAGACCATCTTTTTCCTTACTTCCACTTCTTCCTCGCAAACTTCATCATCGCTTCTTTTTACGAACAAATGATTCCTCGCCAGATAAACTGAATTTTTCATAAATATTACCATTTCTATCATCCATCCACTTCCAATTTTTTCTTCTCGAATATCGTCTACTTCCTCAGTCACTCTTTTATACTTTCAACACTTCTCTTCACAGTGAAATATTACAGCTATCGAACAACTACTTAAGTTTCCTATGTCCGTGATTTTGTGACATCATTACTACTATGTATTGGGTGGAGCTAGCAGCCCCTCTGGTTTGTAGACACTCTGCAACTTAACGTGGTCGGTCAGTAGTTGTTCGATCGCTGTAATATTTCACTGTTACGCCAATGCATTCCAACTGTCTCTTATGTTTCTCTTTGACTTCCTCTGTCGCGTGGTAGATTTTTTACACGAGCCAATAAAAAAAAAATGTCAGTCTGTACTTAATTTTCCCATGTCCGTGATTTTGTGACGCCTCACTACTGTGTACTGGGTAGAGCGAGCAGCCTAGTGGTCGGTCTGTACTATCCTGGTTTTATCATTGTCATGATCCGTCTAACACATCATAAAATTCGCAATTAAAATCCATTTAATGTTGATGTCCTAATTCCACAATTTCAATCGGATTTCTTTTTTGTATGCTTCAGAAGCATCGTTTCGGTGTGCCGAGTGTACAAGTTTAGCGTCAGCGAAAATAGCAGTAACATCGAAGCAGTTTTATCGAGTAACAAAATTCTGGTCATCCTGGATCTTCTACTTCAACACTTGGAGGTATGTCAATCATATATTCGTAACAATTATTGTTCGCTCTATTTGTTAGATAAACTGACATACTATTAGTACAAACTACTTTACTGAATGTAGTGCATGATTTTTAATTACAACTCGTAAAAAGAATTATGAAGGAGAGATTCAGAAGACTGCTATTCTGCTAATAATTTTAGGTGATAGATGTGTTTTCGGGATTCTCTCTGTAAATATTACTACTGACTAGTTAACAGCACTCGAACATTTTAAGAGGTGTCGGCGCCTCTTTCCATCTGGTTATATCCCACTTTTTTTGTTAAGCTGCCACTTACTCCGGTGCCGGAAAGTGGGTTATTCGTATATCATCTTATGACCTTAACGTTTCTTCGTCGAGAAGTGATTGTTTCGTTTTCCTGAAAGCTTCTCGCACTTCCAGATACACAATTAAAAATATTATTACTGGCTGTAAGCGGATGTAGTTCAGCAAGGGCGGATCCAACTTAGGAAGGTGACGAGATATGTGAAACTATTTTTTTAAACCCTTTCTTTTGCACGATTTGGAATTCATTAATAATTTATCCATCTCTGTATTGGAAAAAGCAATATAACCCGTAAAAATTTCTATGTTAAAATGTTGAAGTTAAGATGTTGTCTCCAAGCTGTTAAAGATTAGATGACAATCAACAATTTTTATTTTTGAAAGCAAGAAAGCAAATATTGGAATAGATATAGGCATAAATAATTAATTGTTTTTGGTTCGTTGCGAACACACTGTACGCCTCTGGAAATATTATACACGCGATCGTTGATTCGCGTGAGCGCCAGTAAACCGAGAATTCACGCAGAAGCGATAGGCGAGCGGATTCTTTTTCTCTCTGGTCGTTTTTGGAGCTCATTTCGAGGTTGGTAAATAAACGAAGGCAAAGACCGTCGTGCCTGTCCTGTCCGACTTGTCAAAATAAGGATTAAGAGTCTTAGGGCTGGCTTCAGCTTGCGTCTCCTGCTTCGTAGCCGTCTCTGTTCGAGTATTTAACTCTTTCTTCGAACACGAGTCGGTAAGCTGGATCCTGGAATCCATCGAAGAATTTCAGCTGCAAATACTTCATACGTCGCGCATCGGCGTTTCCGATCTCTTCGTATTTTTCAATTATCGATATATTTAAATTCAATTCGAACGTCTCGAAAAGCGGGGAATATTTATAAACAAAGTTTTCTAAAAATAGGAAGACAGATATCGCTTCTTTTTACGAGCGTTGTTCATTTTGTTACGTTCACAGCTCTTCCCCAACATCTACTCACGAGCATAGGTTTATTTGTTACTTTCAGTTGATTTTGTCTTAAATATCATCTTTCTTATGCTCTCCTTTTTACTTTCAACTTTTCTCTTTACCTTTGTGCCTCACTTTTATTTTCACGAGCATCTTCTTTGTTAGTTCTACTACATTTATTCGCAATCTTTATTGTCACTTCTCTTTATGAACACAGGTTTCCTTTTCAGATAACTATATTTTTCACAGATACTACCTCTTGTGGTATATTTGTATTCTTCCGTCCACTTCCAATTGTATTCTTCTCCAATATAGTCTTCTTTCTCAGTCTTTCTTTTTTACGTCCAACTTTTCCGCTCACTCTTTTTTATTATCGACTTTTTTCTTCAGCTCGTTGCCTCACTTTTATCTTCATGAACATCTTCTTGCTTACTTCTAATTGATTTCTTTTTGAATATTTTCTTTGTCATTCTCTTCTTCTAATTTTACTTTCAACTTTTCTCTTCACCTCTTCGCATCACTTTTGCCTTCTCTTCACACCTTCTCCGTCACTTTCAACTTTTTCTTCCACGTACACCTGTTCTCCCTCTCCTTCTGACCACCGAGAACATCCACGCGAGTTTTTCCCGTCCTCGCGTGCAACGATTTTCGGAAACGTGGCTTCGAGAACACGCTTGAAGTCTATCGTTTCGTTCGATGATACGTCGTAATCGGTCGTTGAATTCGCCAGCGTGATTTCAGGATCAATTTTTCATGCTTCATAGATACGGCACTGGCGCGTTCCTTCTCCCGGTCCTCCCCCGGGAATCCCCCTCCACAAATGCATTAGCGGCGAGAGAGCTTTTAGTGACGTCACCCACGCGCACATACACGCACGCAGAAGGTGCACACGTACACAGACGGGGAATCGGGTTATACGGTGAAAGGAGCGCGTGTTCCATGCAGAATGTGCGTGGGTACTTCTGTCGCCGCTTCCATCAAGCTCCGTTTCGAGGACCAAGCCTAATCTTTTGTCTCGTCCTCCTATCGGCGCTTTCTCGACGACCTCTCCGCAGGTTCCAGAATTCGGTTGTTCCTCATATTTTATCGGCACTGCTAGATTCCTTCACCTGGAGGGGTTCCACGGCTGCCACTAGCGCTAATAAAAATTGTTTCGAATAAGGGGCACATCGATACATGCTAACCGTTCGTTCGCCTAATCGGCAAACTCTTTCGGGGTTAGATGGATTAACGCTAAACTTACCGACGTTCATTTGTAATTATCGTATTTGTTCTATCGTGTTGGAACAAACGGTTGGTCTTAGAGATACTTTTTTTAATTAAATCCAAAAATATTTTACGTGGATGTAGAATGAGTAATGTATGATACAATTGTATATAATTCATGTAAGCATGTAAGTGCTATAGTCGGTCCCATAAATATTCGCAGCATCTATTCTGTGTCTATTACAAGAATTCTTCTCAATTAAATGATAGGTTTGATGGTTCCTAATAAATGTTTCATTATAAATATGTACATGAGTAAATATCACACATATATATTTGTATAACGAAAAATGTATTTGACATAAATAATCGCAGCATCTATTCTGTGTCTATTACAACAATTCTTCTCAATTATATAATTATATTTCCAAAGAAATGTTTCGTGATAAATATTTACACGAACAAACTTTTCACATATGTATGTTTACAATGAATATTTATTTGGGAATATTAAACTTATAATATAATACTATTTTTTTTCCTATAGAGCCTGGTGGAAATTGACTCAAATCATGATTCAATTGGCTTATCAACTTTAAATATCCATAACTCCCTTAATTCTTAAACGATTGACTCAATAAACATGTGGTTGGAAAGCTCTTTTAAAGGCCAATAAAAGTTATCTAACACTAAAACACGCTCAGATCACTTTATCATTCTCAAAATTCAAGTCAAAAATCACAAACGCCAAAAACACTTGCGAATTTTTTTGAGACCCTAACAATTTTTTTAGTGCGTCACCGATTTTGTTATGGGTACCTATTATGAACATAGACATTCGGTGAAAAGTTCATCGAATTTCCAGTTTAGGTTCTGAAGTAAAAAAATTAATAGTTGCGAAAGCTGAAAATTTCAAGGGGTTATCTTGCCGATTTTTCGACCACAAAATTTGTATTTTTAAATGTCATCCAAAACATGGTTTTCAACGTTTTGGGGGACGAGAAACACGATTCTGAAGTCGGTTTCTCGATAAAAAAATTTTATCATGTGGTTCACTTACAAAATACCCTTCCACCTTATTTTTGGCGAATATACCTCAAGAGACCGAACAAAAAAATGTTTAAAGTTGAAGAAAAATTTGTTTATCGCGAACTCAGAGATTTCAGAATCGTATTTTGGACGAGATTTTTACCGAATGTCCACCTTCATAATAGGTACTCATAAAAAAATTGGTGATCCGGTAAAAAATTGTTAGTGCCTCAAAAAAATTCGCAAGTGTTTTTGAGGTTTGTGATCTTTGACTTGAATTTTGAGAGTGATAAAGTGATCTGAGCGTGTTTTAGTCTTAGATAACTTTTATTGCCCTTTAAAAGAGCTTTCCAACCACATGTTTATTGAGTCAATCGATTAAGAATTAAGGGACTTATGGATATTTAAAGTTGGCAAGCCAATTGAATCACGATTTTAGTCAATTTCCAACATGCTACACATGAATTATATACAACTGTATCATATATTACTCAATCTACTTCCACGTAAAATATTTTTGGATTTAGTTGAAAAAAGTATCTCTAAAACTAGCCGTTTGTTCCAACACGATAGAACAAATACGATAGTTACAAATGAATGTCGGTAGGTTTAGCGTTAAAATTAATTGTTCAAGTTCCTTAGTGAAAAGCTCCGTCAACCACATATAGATTACGTGACGTGTTAGCTCTTATTCCGTAATCATTTTCAGTTACTTCAAACCGTAAACCAGGGTCGTAAAAGATTTTTAAAAAATCTGAAAGTATCGAAAACACGATCGACGATACGATTACGATAAAATTAACCATAAATTAACTTTTCATTCAGCGAAAATTAGCGTCGAAAAATGATATTACTTATGGGATGATCTATTGGGTTGTCCGGAAAGTCCATGTCAATTTTTGGTAGGTGGTACAGGTCTGAATATATCGAAATGGTTGAAAACGAAGAACATGTATATATCCCTTAAAAGGTGGAAAGGTTGAGGAACAAAATGGCGCCTATGTAATTCAATAAATACATGTATACATATTATTAGGTTGTCTCAAAAGTTTCTTCCATTTCATTAGTAAGTAATACGTACACAATATTTTATGTCTAATGTTACATTATTAAATTGTGTACGATTCATTTTGCTCCATTACTGTTATACAATATTAACATCTAATAAATTAAGTTGTCTATTTTCACAAACACTGCCACACAAAATAATTGAGTGCAAGTCTCGGAAGAAACTTTTGGGACAACCTACCATATGTCTTTGAATTTTTCTTTTTCAAAAATTGCTACGAACTTTCTGGACAATCTAACATTACATCGCACAATTTCCAGTATGGAAAGTTATGTTTCGCTGGATTCCCTTGGATTTCGGAGTCGCTGGCATTGAAACGTAGGTATTCTTTAGGATCGATACGAAATGTTTCGCGAGGAACGCGACTCGCTCCTCCATTAAAGAGTCCAGGAGGAATGACAATTTGGACAATTGCACAAGGAAATCGATTGTCCTGTAGGGTCCGCGAATGCTTTTCAATCTCGTCCGTCGGCTAAACAAATTTACAGTTTCCCGTAAATCGGGATCGCTGACCCACCCTCGGTATTTTGCCCCTTTTCGATCCGTTTTTTCGACGATGCGTTTCGCCATGCGTGGTCTGCGTCGAATTTAACGAATTCGATGACTCGAGACTGGCTTGATCGCTTGTAAATAAAAGGGAAAATTCTCCCTGTTAATCTAGACGAGCCAGGGTCTAAAAGAGACTGACTGACTCTCAGACTGGCTCCATTTCCCCAACGATTCCATGAAAAAAATTAAACAAGGACGAATGTTTTGTTATGGCACCAAATGCCAAATGCTCTTTCAGATGCAAAAAGTTTCAATCCGATTGGTCCATCCGTCTCGGAATAAGAAGCAAGACAACATTTTTCTGTTTTTTTTTTTTTTTTTTTTGCAAAAAAACAGGCAAAAAATGACAAATCACAAAATGTTTTATTTACGGGACCTACTGGAAGAATTATTCTACAAGATGCAAGAGGCATTTCACTCCGATTGATCAAGCCATCTCGATGTAATCGGCAAACATACCTAAAAATAAGACCCCATGAAAATTTCTTTCTATTCTTTGTGACGAAAGTGAGTTGTTGACAAAATAATGCAGAAATGCATTAATTACATAGAATTTATGCAACGACGTTAATTTTCATCATCCACCTGCTTCGCCCTCGATTTTGTGGATATTTTTCATCCCCTTGAATTTAGCAACCTGTACAAAAAGAAAAAGAAACCAAAGTAACTAGTTGAAATCGAAGTAAATCGATAGGAATCTTCCGAGGAATGGAAGTTTCGCATTAAGATCTAACCGAGGCAAGAAATTTAGTGGCCGAGGTAGCGGGTTCGCGGGACTCTCCGTCGGGCGACAATGTCCGTCCTAAAAACCGAGCTGAATACGGAGAAACGCGAGCTGTTAAGTGTTCCACGAAAGAGCTATCGAAGGACGGACGTTTAGGGCCCATATACCCCAGAATTCTTATCGGAGACCTTCCGACTCGTTACCTCTAATTTAGCATTTTAAATGTCGCCTGTATGCGCCCGTTGAATCGTCCAGTCCACCGAGCCATCGGTATCAATGACTCAACGTGCCAGGAATTCGTCTTCTACCGTAGAAGTTCTACAGCATCCGCGTCGATCGCCGTGGCTCCGAAAGATGCGACCACCCGAATGGTAGCCGTTAGTTCGTAGTCGGCCGTCACGGTTTTGGATGAATCGCGACGGTGATCTGACGAGCCTTTTAGAAAATATCGGTAGAAGAATTCGTTTTTGGAAGGACTACTCGGGACAGAAAACGGTGATCTTTAGTTAACTCTTTGAGGCACACGATTCTAAAAGAAAAATAAAATTCAAGCAGCACTCGAGAACAGTGTAAACAACTTGCTAACGCGTGTTGACTTGTATACATTTCCAATTCCATTTATTGTACTTTTAGCGTAGTTCATAGTATTGCCAAATGAATGAGAAACTTTAAATAAAATAATAAAGTTAAGCAAATGGTGGGATAGTGTTTAACCCACCTAGCTTCAAAGAGTTAACGAGTACGTGAAAGATTCCTTCTATCGTTTCTTCTCGGAAGGGTAATCACTAGACTGCAGATCTTGATGCATTTATAGGAAATTTAAATGTACAAGAAACTACAAATTGGAAACAATATGCAAGAATATAAAAAAGATTGAAAGTAAAGTTCGTGTTATAACATTTGCAGAATGAAATAAATTCCTATTTAGGTTCAATTTTTGTTGGCACGTTCGCGAAGATTTTATTTTGCATAAAGATCCGCAGTTTAGTAATTACAATTGTCACCAGCGTCTGTTTAAACTAGAGTTACAAATAATTGAACGTGAAGAAAATTAATTTCTACATCGATTAATTGCTAAGTATATCCGTAATCTGTTAGAGAAATAAGTAAAATTTGTGGGCTACTGAACTTTGTATATATTCAGTCCCAAACTATTCGTACATCCTATGTCTATTAAAGAAATTTGTCTAAATTAAATGACAGATTTAATGTGTTCAAATAAATATTTCGTTATAAATTCATTCGAGAGTAATCTTCACACTAATGTATATTTGTGATGATAAGTTTATTTAGACACATCAACTTTATCATTTAATTTGTACAAATTTCTTAGATATAGAAAATACGAATCCTTATGCGAATGACTCTAAATAATAATAATGTACAATTCATTGTAACGAACTGTAGCAATCATTTTATGATTGAGAACTCAGAAGGTTAATAATCAAAAGTAACAAAACACCGAGTAAATATTTTTAATTAATCTACAGTTATAATATGTACTACTGACAAATTTAAATAATTGTACAATGCAAACCCTGAACTAACATTCACAAAAAAGTGACGAATATTTGTTTTCGTTTGCAGAGCCTGTCGAAACTGGACGACCATATCCAGGTCCAGGAAGCATCGAGTAACTCGACCGGAAGCGGAATCGTCGCTAACAGCGTGATGCAATTGCTGTGCAGTTTGATCCCCGAGGAGCCGTTTGAGAAATCGGAACTGCAGACACGGGTGCAAGATATCGCCGGGTGAGTAGTTAAAGTGCACGATGCATCGTGTTACGAGACTTTAAAAATTCTATGTCCGCATTTAGTGTCGATCGTACTTTATATACCGATGTTTCTTTTCACGGAGGCTATTTAAAGTAACGCCGAGTACTAAAGGACAGACGTCATAAATGGATTCTACTGAATTAGAAATGAGGAGGAACGTTGTTTATCGTGTTCTGTATGACAGCTGAAGTTAGAGGTGGAAGTAGATATCACGGAAATGGACAGAACGTAGGTCACTCACTTATAAGTTTTAGATTAGACTGAAGAAACGAAATTGTTCGGTCTTAGACTGTTTGAGATATGAGATGTATAAGTATTATTTTCAGTGAATAATTGCATGTATTACATTACATTACTTCACCGAATTATAGAATTATTTATATGTGTTTAGATATAAAAGATGGAGAAATGTTCAGTTTCAAAGGAAGTTGGTGTAAAAAAAGGGTTCCATTTTGAGTGTATACTTAATTCCACTCAACCTCGAATATCGAACATTGGAGACAACAACTTGAGATTTATTCAATAATTTTCTTTTTATGTAATTGTAAAAGCATTTGAGTATAAAAGACGGAAAAATTTTCAGTTTCAAAGTGCTTTGTTGAAAAAAAAGGGTTCGATTTTGAGATGTTCCATCTTCAACATCAAACATTGAAGACCACAACGTGAGATTTACTCAATAATTTTCTTATTACATAATTATAAAAGTGTTGAAGTATAACAGAAGAACAAATTTTCAGTTTCAAAGCACGTTGTTGTGAAAAAGGGTTCCATTTTTGAAAGGTCTCATCTTGAACATCAAACATAAGTTAATTAATATTTTTCTATTTACATAATTATAGAATTACTTTTATAAACGTTTAAGTATAAAAGAAGAAGAAATGTTCAGTTTCAAAGCCCTTTGTTATACAAAAGGGTTCCATTTTGACTGTATTCACAATCCCAATATTACAACTGGTGTCGTTAAGAAAACTAGTGTTTACTTTGAGTTTTCTCTTCTCATAAAGGAAGTAACTTTATTATCATCGTCAATGTAATGTAATCTGATGAAAATTAGAGGCAATATCGGGTACGTCGATTAATTCACAGCTTTTGCACAAGATTCGCATTTATGAAGTGCACATGCATTAACTGCAGCTAAATTTTTTCTTTCAGCATTAGTTTTAATTCACTACCTGTGTAATTAGTAGACTGCGGATGTCCATGCATGTATAACAAATGAAAACATTAGGAAATCTTTGAGAATGTAGCAAATGCAGAAATGTTTTAAATATCAATAATAATATACATTTTATAGCGTTTAGAATATAACTCATACTTTCATTTAAATCTCAATTCTTCATATGAATCAATAAAAATATGATATTGCTTAAACATACACAGTCTATTAATTACGTTTAACTCTTATTGGCTCATAATTTTCATCTCTGTTAACACTAAAAAAAATTAATACCAAAAATACGGCGATGATGAAAACAAATCTGAATAGGTTTCGTGAATATAACAAGATTAAACAATTGAATACTACGATAAATGTTAAATTATTTAATCTTCAATAGTCTCAAGTCTAAATTTTAATTTTGTAAACATTTTCACGAGTGACAGTTAGCGTACTTGTCTCAACAGAGATACCCTGTGTCTATTACCAATCGAATTATCAAATTGTACAACCATGAGCCTGTACCATGAGACTGTAGCCGGTGTTTCGTTGTCCATTTAAATTCCTGCGTCAAAATTTCGACCGGCCGTCGCTCCCGTTTTGTTTGTTGGTCAAACAACGCGCGGGTTTCTTTGAAGGAGGACAACGATGGAAAAAACTTTAACACTTTGACGGGCGGGGACCACCCCCGTAGGAAAACATGGCGACTCTCTCGTGCGAGCAGAACTTAATACGCGAGTCACGGGAAAGTGACGAGTCGCAAACTGTTTTCGTTGGATCCACGACGATATCCGAGCTGCGCCAGGAAGACACGGCGCAACTGGGTCAACTTCCTCCTCGGGGACCCCCCAAATAGTCCGTCAATCCTTTTCTATTACCGCGACATCATCTTCTGTTGGATTGTTCGAATATTTTCCACTTTTTTTTGTGAATAACGTTTCAGGATTGTCCGAACGAGTTCAATTAAATTTAAGTGGTTTAGAAACTATAGTATAGGCCCTGGAAATTGATTAAGTACATACTAAGAAGGGGGAGGATGTTATATAAGAATGGAAAAGGAGAAAGATTTAAAGAAATGCAGGTGTAGATTCAAGATATCAGGTTGCAGTTTAAGAATATTCCTAGTTTGAAGATCCTAATGTCAGATTTCATCAACAATTTTGTATTTATATAATTGTGGAATTAGTTATGAAAGTGTTTACATAAAAGAAGGAAAAATTTTCAGTTTCACAGATAGTTGTTGTAAAAAAGGGCTCGATTTTGAGAGGTTCCATTTGGAACATCAAACATTGAAATTCCCAAAGTGAGATGTAATTAGCAATTTTCTTCTTACATAATTATAGAAATAGTTATAAAAGTGTTTAAGTATATGAGAATGAGAAATTTTTATTTTCAAAGCACGTTGTTGTAAAAATGGGTTCGATTTTGAGAGGTTTCATTTGGAACATCAAACATTGAAGTTCCCAACGTGAGATTTAACCAATAATTTCCTTTTTATGTAATTATAAAAGTGTTTACATAATAGAAGGAAAAATGTTCAGTTTCAAAGCACATTGTTGTAAAAAAGGGTTCTTTTATCTACATTTTGAAGATGATCCCAACCCACCGTTTCAACCTCTGTATATAAATCTTCCAATGAATACTCGAATGTCTTACTCCCACGCCCCATCTCGCTGAAATTTACATGTAGAAAATTTCGATATGATCGCGCGAAAAGCCCGCGTGTGTATATTTTTTTTCCAGAATGGGGGGGGGGGGGGACGTTGAATGCACTTAACGATTCTCAAATACGTATTACAAGGTACAAAATGATCGATCGTCCCTAGACATCTGCGCACTTTAAAAGTACGGGCGAAAAGCAATCTCGACGCTGAGTAAAAATCGTGACTAGGCCATTCTCGCATCGGCAGGAAATTAATCATAATAATTCGACTACCGGCGGCCGGCCAGCAATCGTTCTGATCGCGCCTCCGTCGCTCATTATTCAAAGTTGGACGTCACAGTCAGTAAACTCGAAAATTTGCAGATTCACTGCTGCGATAAAACGCTACCGCGAGTTTGTTGTTTAACTAGTTCACAATAAACAAACTCCTCGATCGCGGTTTTGTTGGAAAATTTGTTGGATACAAAGCTATACATGCTGTGATCAAATTGTGAAGCCCGAGGGTGAATGGAATTGAGTAGTCAAAATGGAATCCTTTTTTACAATAAAGGACTCTGAAACTGAAAATTTCTCCTTCTTTTGTACTTAAACACTTTTGTAATTAGGTAACGAGAAAATTATTGATTAAATCTCATGCTGGGGACTTCAATGCTTGATTGTCGAGATGGAACCTCTCAAAATCGAACCTTTTTTTACAACAACGTGCTTTGAAACTGAAAATTTCTCCTTCTTTTGTACTGAAATACTTTTATAATTATATAAAAAGAAAATTGCTAATTAAATCTCGTCTTGGGGATTTCAATGTTTGATGTTCAAGATGGAATTTCTTAAAATCGAACCCTTTCTTACAACAACGTGATTTGAAATTGAAAATTTTTTCTTCTTTTATACTTGAAGACTTTTATAATTATATAAAAAGAAAATTGCTAATTAAATCTTATGCTGGGGACTTCAATGCTTGATGTTCGAGATGGAACCTCTCAAAATGAAACCCTTTTTTACAACAAGGGGCCTTTGAAACAGAAAATTTCTCCTTCTTCTATACTGAAAAACTACAACTAATTCCAGAATTATGTAAAAAGAAAATTATTAATTAACCCTGACGTTGGAGACTTTAATGCTTGATGTTCGAGATAGGACCTCTCAAAATCGAACCCTTTTTTACAACAACTTGAAATTGAAAATTGGCTGATCATTATAGAGTGTCATACCTTACTGAATCATTTTAACGCTTTTTAATCAATTTAGATATATTCTTGTCTTTTCAGATAGATAAGAGCCAACTTCAATGCTTGGCGAAAAATATTAACAATTTTTCTGAAACCTTTTCAAAATAGGAATATATAAAAATAACTATGCTCCCTAAATCTATTATTAATATCGTAAAAAAATGGTTTTCATTCCGTGAACTCGCTGTTGCATCAACGTAATCGTAAAACGCGCCACACGAATATAAACATACGATATGAAAAATGATGAGGGTTCGGCTATCAAAACGCTTATCATTCAGTCTCGCAATCTATGATTAAAGAGTCGTATACGTTGGTACCTCTCTCAGGAATTATTATTCTTGCTCTGCCGCGAGGTAAATGGCTCTTTTGTCGTAAACCGCTGGCCACAAAGCAAGGAGCTACCCGTAACGCGCGTCGTCGTTTCCCTTTTTGTTGGTTCCTTTTACCGTATACTCGCGCCGCAATGTACTCGAAGCTGCCACGAATTTTTAATGATTTGTTATTGCGCGAAAAGAGTGCGCCATCTTTTCACTTGTTCGCCCGAAGTGGTGTTTTTTTTTCGTGTGGTTTTACGTTGATGAGACATGGTTGATTCGGGCGTGTCAAAAGGTAGAGAAAGCTTGGTAGAGAAAGCTTGGAATTTGTATTTTGTGAGCAGAATTTTTCGAAAAGGTTGTTTCAATTTTCGTCGAGATTTCGTGTAGCGTAAAGTAATGATTAGTAAGTGGAACATACTCATTAGTGTATGATCTTCTCTATCTTCTCAGTCGTTCGCACAAATTGTTTATCTTCCATATGTTTTCACGTTGATGAAACATGGTTCATATAAATATATTAACACTTTATCTACCGGGCTATTTAGAAGCAGACTCTAATTAAAAAAAGAATTTTCTACAGTAGCATACAGTGGGTGTAGAATGTATTC